TTTGGTTTCTCTAGACCAGTGATGCTCAGCCAGTGGGTTGCAACCCCCTGCAGGGTCATGAAAGGAATTGGGTCGGGGAGGTGGGGGTGTCACAGTCTAAAACAAAGAAAATCTTGCTCCCCTATTCCCTGCAGACCCTTACCCTTCAAATCAAGTATTCCCTACCAATCTCTCAACACACACAAAAATATATAGGTTTATCATTGTTAATACATTTACTATAAAAGTAAGAGTAAAAATGTTAGATTGCAAAATTTGACTTTGAATAAGTGGTCACCAACCTCAAAAGGTTGAAAAATGCTGCCTCAAGCAAATTGGAGCAGATTGTTTTGTCATTTGAGTCAAACATAACCGTTAGAAATATGTAAAAAAAATTGTAGGTTTTACCCTAGGTTTTCAGCAACTTGCTACAGATCTGGATAGGAATATGATATCCTGTATGAAAATGAATGTGCACAGTTGTATTCTTGGCTTTCTCTCTTAATATCACGCTACTTATATTACAAAAATAATTGGTTTCCTATTGTCAAACTAAAAAGTTAAATGAATTGGACACTAGATTATTTTAGGATGTTGTAATAGCTTGACTTTTTAGAACGATGATTGAAGTAGACACCTCAAAATAGCAGCAATTTAAGAATGTCTGAAGGTTTCAAAATATATTCTGATAGCAACCCTTTGCTTATATTGTTTCTCTAAGTTTTAAAAATAATAATAAAAAAAAAGTTAGTGAAAGGCTCTGGATTAATTGTCCTAGAGACTAAAGTCCTCTATAGAGTCACAAAAAGAACAGGAGTACTTGTGGCACCTTAGAGACTAACAAATTTATTAGAGCATAAGCTTTCGTGGGCTACAGCCCACTTTTTACTTGAAGAGTTCAGGCATTGCCACTTCAGTGCTTTAGTCAAAAATAAGTTATTTGGTTCAATACGGGTGTAGCTGAGTGGAAATTTAGTGGTGTGTGATATAGAGAAAGTCAGACTAGATGAACTGTCCCTTCAGGTCTTAAAATCTATTAATCTCCTTGCATTGTGCTTCAACACTGATCTGGAAGGATCCCACTCTACCGTGATGGGGAAAGTAGTTAAGTCTTCATATTGAAATTGCAAAAAAGACGGACAGTTGTGGTGGTGTCTTAGTGTTTTTGCTTAATTGGTGTGGTATGCTCATTTTTTGTTTGTATTAAAGGCAAGTTAAGTAGTCATGTACCCTGGTGCCTCTTGCACAGAAAAAGCTAAAGTTTAAACAGTAGCTCTAGTCACAAATGTTTTCTTATAGAAAAGTTTAAAGGTAAATAAAAGCGTCAAAGCTAAAAACTCTGAACTGTGTATCATGAGAGTTAATAGGTAAAATGTATATGTCTAATTTCTGCTGAAAACTAAATGATTTCATTCTGTTTTTTAGGGGTCTTTGTATCCAGTGTTGTTCTGGTCTTGCAACAGCGAGCACTTTTCAAGTTTTATATGATCAGCTCGGCATTTCTGCTAGCTGCAACCTCAGTGTTGGTGAATTATTATGCTTCTTTGCACATAAACTTCTACAGTGCCTACTACACAGCAGCTTTTGGAATTCAGTTCCTCCCTCATAAAGGACCCTCACTATGGATGGCACTTTCTATCCTTCAGCTTACCTTTGGGATTGGATATGTTACATTGTTAAACGTGCAGTCCATATACTCCCAACTAATCATACTGGATATACTGATTCCTATAATAGGCTTGATCATTGAATTACCTTTAAATGTCAGACAGATTTTAGTTTTTATTTCAGGCCTAATTCTGACATTATATACCACAATCAATTTAGTTATGAAAATTAAATGGTTCTATTATTCCACACGATACGTTCATCTCCTTTTAAGGCATATGTATCGCATTTATGGATTACAGCTATTGATGGAAGATACGTGGAAAAGGATTCGTTTTCCAGCTGTACTGCGTGTGTTCTGGCTAACGAGACTTACAGCACAAGCAGTTGTGTTAACTTATGTTGTCAAGATGGCAGAAACTAATACAGAAGAGAAGTTCTACTTGATTTCTTGGGAAAATTGTTGGGAACTAGTTTGCAGTCTTATAATAAGTGGGTGTGATTCTACTTTAACTGTCTTAGGCATGAGTGCTGTAATTTCTTCAATAGCCCATTATTTGGGACTGGGTATTTTGGCTTTTATTGGATCAACTGATGATGACAAGAGGCTTGGTTTTGTAGCACCTGTTTTATTTTTTATTTTGGCTCTGCAGACTGGCTTAAGTGGTCTAAAGCCAGAAGAGAGACTAGTTCGCCTATGTCGAAACATGTGCCTTTTGTTAACTGCAGTCCTGCATTTTATCCATGGAATGACAGACCCTGTACTAATGTCTCTCAGTGCCTCCCATGTGTCGTCATTTCGCAGACACTTCCCTGTACTTCTTGTTTCAGCTTGCCTTTTTATTCTTCCAGTTCTGCTCAGTTACATCCTTTGGCATCACTATGCACTAAATACATGGCTTTTTGCAGTTACAGCATTCTGTGTGGAACTTTGCCTAAAAGTAATTGTTTCTATCACTGTTTATGTACTATTCATGATTGATGGCTACTATAATGTCCAGTGGGAAAAGCTTGATGATTATGTCTACTATGTTCGTTCAACAGGCAATATTATTGAGTTTATATTTGGTGTAATCATGTTTGGAAATGGAGCTTATACCATGGTATTTGAATCAGGAAGTAAGATTCGGGCTTGCATGATGTGTCTTCATGCTTATTTCAACATCTACTTGCAAGCAAAGAATGGCTGGACAACTTTTATAAATCGCAGGACAGCTGTTAAGAAAATAAACTCACTTCCTGAAGTAAAAGGAAGTCGGTTACATGAAATAGATGATGTATGTGCAATCTGCTACCATGAGTTTACTACATCTGCTCGTATTACTCCATGCAATCATTACTTTCATGCACTTTGCCTTCGGAAATGGCTCTATATTCAAGACACTTGTCCAATGTGCCATCAAAAAGTATATATTGAAGAAAAGGAAAATGCAAATATCTCTAACAATGGGTTTGTTGCTCCTAATGAAGATCCTGTAGAAGTTGCAGAAGAAGCTGCTGAAGCTGCACATGAAATAAATGAAGATAATGACAGTACCAATAGTGATGATGATTATGTGGCAGAACACCAGAATGAGACTCTTAATGTTGATTCTGACTCCCTGGGTGACTAAAATCACTGAGGTATTTGTTTAAAATGGAGTTCAGCAACAGAATAAAAGTTTCACTTCATCATTGTATACTTAAGCACAACAATGGTATCTCAGTGTTGTCTGTGAATGGTTGTCATTTACTCTGGTGTGCTACTGTAAATATACCACTAATTATTTCTGGTCTCTTTCATGACCACGTTAAACTTGTGTACATTATTGTACATGGAATAAAATGTTTTCACATGTTTTTAAGACAAAGTTGGAGAAACACTTAAGTGACATAGTGACACATGCAGTCTATCTGCTGTGCCAAAGACTGCATACTAATAATTCTAGAACAATGATTTTTGGGTGAGAGTTAAACTGTTGGAGAAATGAGACCTTCAGTATGCCTAGAAGACACAATTAGAGATGAAAAGTTTTGAACAGGAACTGGTATACCTATAAATTTAAAAACATCAGCAGAACATTATAGCTATAAAACTTTTGAGCTATCTCAAAATAAAGTTCAGGTTTGTAGAAAACTTAAAAGTACTTGTGGGTGTGGAATATAAGAATGAAATTGCTAGGTTTTCTGGAAAACTCTCAGAACCAAGATGTATGGTGGACAGGTGAACTTCACTAATATTATGAGACGGTACCATGCAAAATAGGAATTTTGCTTTTTGCAGACTTATTTTAATCTGATACAAAGTCAGAGTACTGGAAAAGATGACTCAATAGATGAGCTGTTCCAGACTACCCTTAAAACTGATCCTAAAATGTTGTGAGGTAAGTAGAGCTGTGAAACTGTACAAAAAGCAGACCACATTTGTTGAGGCATTAGGTCAGCGGCCATCGTGGCTGCATGTGGCCACCAGGGGCTTTTTATGTGGCCACAGCCTCTTGGGCAGTGATGGGGGGCAAAGCAGTGGACTCTACCCCCTTTGGCACCACAAACACTGGAGGAGTAGGCTTTAAGTGATATTTGTATGTTAATACACCTCTACCCGATATAACGCAGTAAAGCAGCGCTGGGGGGGGGGGGGGGGGGGGGGGCAGGCTGCGCACTCCAGCAGATCAAAGCAAGTTCAATATAATGCAGTAAGATTTTTTGGCTCCCGAGGACAGCGTTATATCGTGGTAGAAGTGTTTCACTTTTCACTGTCTCCCAGCTAGCTAACAAGCCTGCTGTTGTGAAAAGTGATAAACATTCAAGTATCACTTTTCACAGAAACAGACTTACGAGCTAGCAAATCTTTAAAAAAACAAAACCCAAAACAGTGCAACCCCCCCCAAAAAAAACCCCACACCAAACAACCAACCAAACCCTGCAAAGTACTTTGTTTCTATTCTGTTTAGGTCCAGTCAAGAATAGAAACAACTGTATATTTTTTTATTGAGTCTGCAAAAAAACCCCTACATTTGGACATGTATATGTCCACATTTATTGTTTTTCCTGAAGTTAAGTATTTTAGGAAAAATGGTCAGAGTGGCCACCAGAAAGTTGGTGGCTGCACTCTGAGGCTATGAAAAAATTTGTTGCAAGAACCCCTGCTTTAGATGTTCAGTATTTGAGGTTTACAAAGACAGGTTTAATCTTTTCATACCTTTATTTTGTATAAAAGTATGCAAAGCCTGTTAACCTTACTATAAAACTTAATAAAAAAAAAACACTCCTGCAACAACAACAACAAAAGTACTATTATATTTTTGAGGTAAGAAACATAGCATTACATATCTGAAAAGAAAACTTTAATAGTATTGTTGTAAAGAGTGTTGGCCAGTTCAAGTGGGTCTTCCTCTCTTACTGTCGTCATTATCTCCAGTACTTGACTAAAAAGAAAAAAGTTAATTTTACTCAGTTATGTGTCATGGTAAAAATACTAATGTCAGTTTAGTTCATGTGTACACTATTAGCTATGAGGGGACCAACATGGTTGGGACTTACTGCTGAAAGTATACTTTAGTTTCATTTGCACACAGTAACTAGCTTCTGCCACTTAAAACATCAACCACTCACTGGCAGTCTCTTAATCTTTGATCCTTTGACAACTTTTGCTTTGCCTATGTAGGTAGGTAAACAACCTTACATTCCAATGAAAGTGATTCTGCTTTACGGGTGAAATTTCTGCTATTTTGGATAAAGTGCAGTATAAATCTCTCACCTAGGCCATCAGAAGTTCAAAGGATGAAGTTCATTAAGAGTGTAGTCAATTCAATACTCTATACTCTTGCTCCCTCTCCAAATTTTTGATTTCTAATGAACAAGTTCTTAGGTGTTTAACAATAGCTTGTTAAAAGGGATGGGGAAGAAGCCAAAAGATAAGACTAATTTAATAGTTGCACTTTTAAAAAACTGTTACCCTGAAAGCCTTGACAGGTGGAGCAATGCACTGCCACTTATTTGTATTTAGAAAATACAGATTTTCAATTAGTAGCTGAGAGACAAGGATGGACTAGTTATTCCTTCCACTACTTTGTGATCCCTGGCCCTTAGGACTACCTTCTGACTATTAATGCAATATTGGGCTTCTTTAGAGGCAGCTGAATTAGTGGATACACTTCTGCTTAACATCTCAGGAAAAAACTCAGTTAAGTTCTTTCAAGATCTTTATTTCTACTAAAAGCTTAAGTTCACAAGAAAATTTTCTGCACAGGTTGGTTGTTGTAGGCACAAGACATTAACAGTAAGTGAAAGTGATCATTAAGGGACAGATTCTCAGCTGGTTGTAGATACATTAGCTTTAGTAGAGCTACACCAATTTACCCCAGCTGAGGATTGGCCTCAGGAAGTCTCACTAGGAAATCTTAAGCTGAAGTCCATATTTAGGCCAATAAATAAGTGGCCTGTTTTTTCTAAAGTTCTGAGCACCCAGCAGCTCCCCTTAACTTCAGTAGAAGCTGCGCAGCATTTCTGAAAAACCAGGCCACCTATTTAGGTTCCTGAATAGAAAATCTCAACCTGACATCCATAAAGTCAGACATTTAGCTAGTGTAAATGGGCATAGCTCTACAGAAGCTTATGTAGCTACCCCACCTAACACTAGGTGAGAATCTGTATAGCTCTGACAATAACGGGGAATTTTCCCCTCATGGAGAACAGACCATGACCAGATGGCCTATGACAAAGGCCTGATGTAGTTTATTTTGATAGTACTTTCCACCTTACCCTCCTCCTTTAATAGCCACATCTTTTTGTTGTTAAAGATGAAGGGCTTGATCCATAAAGGGGATGTAGGGTCAGCCTTGTAATGTCTACATTTAGGTGCTCTGCCACCCAGAGGACACCTTAGCCCTGAGTCAGGCTCCCATGCTCTCTGCACTGTGCATAATGGTTAGGTGCCTAAAAAAGGGATTCACAAAAGCCATCATAGGCTGAGCAGGAAGCTGCCTAAACTAACCAGTAGATAATGCCAAAGAGAGAGGTTCTGCCTAAGCCTCACCCCCTTGAAGGGAATTAGGTGCCTGGTTCCACTTGGGATTCACCACTGTGAATCATTTCCTAATTAGACCCCTAAATCAGCTCAGCCCTTTTTCAAGTAAAACTGGAGGAGGGTACTGCCCTTAACCTCAGTAGCCAAGTAGTTAGCATACTTGGCCAGAATGTGGGAGAGAGAGGTTCAGATGTCCACTTTGCCTGATTGAGAGCAGGAACTTGAACACAGGTCTTCTACCTCTCAGGTGAGTACCTGAACTGTTAGGCTAACAGGGTATTCTGGGATGAGCGTCTCTCAATCTCTCCTGCTGAAGCTGTTTTACTTTGTGTCACATACTTAATCATCCACCTAGAGAGAACGCTATAGCCTAGGGGTTAGCATACTATCCTGGGAAACTCAGGTCTCTGCTCCAGTGACAAAGTATTCCACCTCCTTTTCAGGCTGTGTTTTTCTAGGGTCCATTCCAGTAGACATGTTCTTAAGTGATCCCTGAGAATGCCTACCAAATTAGGACCTGCAGGCAAGATAGATGAGAGAAAGTCTAGTTTGTGAATCCCACTGGGACTTAGGCATGAAATAGGTGCTGAGCATCAGAACATGGTCAGCTTTGCATGTGCCCACCAGCAGGAATTTAGGCAGCAGCAGAGCAAGAGTTGAATGTAAGCATATAAAGTGGCAGTTAAATACCAAAATCTCTGTGGATCTAGCTTAAGGTGGCCTCCGGTGTCACTTATCACACTTCATTTTAGCTGAGACTAAAGTCATTTTTTAAAGTAACCAACTAAAGATTTTGTTTTGTCCAATTTATATTTGACAGTTGATCTTCAGGGTTGAAGTTGGCTGCATGCTATTTGTGATCATTTTAAAGGGTGACTGACTTTAGGTATACAATTTTTAGGTCAAAATGTGACTAATGTTACAGGTTGCTGACTGTCACTGAAATCAGAAAATCCTTCCCCCGCCCCCAGTAAAATAATTACTAAATAAAATTGTATCCATAGTTAGTTGCACTTCATATCTCATGTACTGCTCGGGGGGGAGCTCCCCTGCATGTTCTCCCCTACTCTCTGTAACAAGGTATTGACTGCTACCAGCTAAATTGAAACAGGAGCAGCTGAAAAGCATGTGTGTAGAGAAGAGGAGGAGTAGACTCAACATAATTTGAGGTTCATCCAGATAACCTTTCTAAAACAGCATTAGTGAGCAGATCAACTTTACAAGTTGGGGACATATATAAGTTGTCAAAATATTGTTAAATCAAACTATGTCCCTATAAGGTCTGATAATGTATTGAAAAGTACACATGTTATTCAAAGGCTCCTACAAATTGTTATGCACAAAGAGCTTCTGAACACTTTTATAATAGATGATGCCATATCATAGTAAGATCGATCAACTATCTTGTGGATTACTTGCCAAATTTATTTGGACTCTTTAGTAGCTGTATCCAAAGACTTTTTTTTAAGACACTAGCTTTTAAAAACTAACTTATATAACTTTTTTTTTTTCAAAATGACTGAACATTTCTATGATAAGTAAAACTAGTTTCAGATTTTGATTACTACAAATGTATTTACATTCTTGCTGACAGACACTCTTGCAAACTGTTACTGGGCCAAAAGTGAATTAAAGTCACAACTAAGCTTGGGAGAATTTGATTTTTAGGTAAATGTCAATTTCACCATATACAAACTGATGAAAATTTTTTTCCATTGATAATTGAAATTTACAGATAGAGAAAAATGCTGCTTGAGAACTTAGAGTTTGATTAAAGGATATTTAGACGTGATATTGACCATTTCTGTTTTTACAATTATACAGCTTTAACTTTTGACTCTCAACATCCACTGTCATTAAATAATTGCCTCACCTCCCCCATAATTTCCCACAACTGTGAAATGTAAATTGATAAAAACTGGGAAAAAAATCACTGTTGACATTATAAAAATAATAAAAATCAAACTCTTTTAAGCCTACTTATAATCAGAGCACTTCACTTAATGTTTTGTGGTGGTGGGTAGAAACAGGAGAAAGCAGATCTAACCCCCAAACCAGCCTGAAACAATAGGGGATCAGCATTTGATGAGATTTGAGTATTTCAGCCACCAATCTCATTTAGTGATTATAGTTAATAAAATTTAAATCAAAAGCAGTACTTTTACCCTCTTCTGTTTGTTTTTTCTAGACATTTAGATTCTAGAGCAATGGGGTCCACAGGCACCTGAAGAGTTTCCCTCTCCAAACTCCCTTTTGGGGCATTCTTGTTTATCTCCAAACCTCAAACTGGTGTTTTTACTGGCTGTAGAGCAGAACAAAACTGATGTGATCTTAATCAGTTTCATTTTGCTACTGATCCTCAGGTTTACAGCTACACCAACACTAGCCTCCTCATCTGCTGGAAGTGCTCTTAAACCAGTGGTGATTTGTCTCTATGTCCCGCTACCTCCCTCCCACTTTAAAAGATCACACAGTTGGCTCTTCTGGTGTTGCATGTACATCTGGAGGAGCAACACAGTGACATTAATTAGAATCTGGGTATTTGGACTCTATTTTGGTAGTGCTAAGGGGAGAATTAACCTCTTGTTACAAAAGGGAACTACAAAATAGAGGGACGGAATACATGGGATATCAAATGAAAAGACATCACTAAGGTCTTGATTTTAAGATTTGCTGAGCTTCCAAAATTCCTGCTGAAATCAATGGAGATGCAAGAACCTCTGAAAAGTTAGCCACAAAACATATATGTATTTTGTTAAACATATCTTAGAGTACAACACCTTGCTCCAGATTCAAAAATTCTGTCATTGGTTTAAGCCTACTAAATTTTGTATGTACTTGTGTATGTTTTCAAATCTTTGTTTAAAATATAAAAGTTACATACTTACATTATATGGCAAGGTTCATTTCTGTCCTTCAAGCAATGCTCTACTTCCCATTTCTTTTTTGTGGGAAATGTTGTTTTTATATACTTTGACCCAGCATGAGTATTTTTCACACCACACCAGGGAGCATCTAGCATGATTCAAACAAGAGTTAAATGTATACAATCGTTTAGTCATTTCATATAATTGTTTGCTCTTCTGTCAATTTATGTCCTCCCCACCTTCCACAGACCAAAGCCCATTTTCGAAATCACTCCTCTTAAGCACAGTTTCTCTCCCAAATGATAAAGGAATGATTATGAGATTAGTTAATTTAACATCCATAATGATGAATAAATAACTTCAAATTACTATTCCATTATATTAAATTCTGTAAGATTTTTACATATTATAAAATTAGCCACTTTATTCAACAATAATGCAGTACAATAAAAGAAGCAAGGAGAGAAATGCTACCATGACAAGGGCTGCTAGCCAGTGAACCACTGTGTAACCCACAGAAAGTTTATATACAGCAGTGATACTCAGACTGAGGCTTGCGAGTAGCAAGTGGCTTTTTAATGCATCTCCTGCGGCTCTTTTCAGCACATGATATTAAAACACTGATTTAATTATTAACCAATCTAAGTTATCAACCAATCAGGATGATTTTACTATAGTAACCAATTGTAGTTGATAAAACAATAATACTTGGTCAGTCATTTTGCTGTGAGAATAATATATATATGAACTAATATTTCCCAGTCATACTGTTTAAATATGAATATATAGTACTATAGTTAGTAAAATAATGAATTCACACTACTATGGCTCTTTTGGGTAATGTTGATTGCCAGTTTGGGTCCTGAACCATTGAAGTCTGATATCGGGGTAGCCGTGTTAGTCTGTATTCACAAAAACAACAAGGAGTCCGGTGGCACCTTAAAGAATCTGAAGAAGTGAGGTTTTTTACCCACGAAAGCTTATGCCCAAATAAATCTGTTAGTCTTTAAGGTGCCACTGGACTCCTTGTTTTTACTGAAGTCTGAGTATCACTGATATACACCCTGATGTGCCTCTGTTTAAGACATAAATGAAATGCAGGGATTTAACCAGAGTTTTTAAAAATAGCCTTTTTCAGATATGCCAGATTACATAACTGTTGACTAAATCTCCTAATCTATATTTAACTGTCCTACTACTGATGTCTGAAATAAATGTGAGTAGAACCGATATCCACTAATGGATCAGTTGAGTCATAACTAATTATTCCAGGAGGTATTTTCAGGCCCTCTTTCATATTGTTTTGCTTAATGAATTGGAATTTCCTGGTATGCACCCAAGTGCCATTACTGCTGATATTGGGATGGCCTTTATCATGTTCTTTCCCATAGCGTTTGGCATATCTACACTCTGCTTAGTGTCTCCCCTTTTATTCATTTATGCCCTCAGTCTCGGTCAAGGTGATCTAGGTTCTTTTCCAGCAGAAGAGGGCTGAATATAATTACTGCTGGAGCCTGTGAACTCTGCTTATTGAGTCTGGCAGAGGGTTTTTTAGGGTATGTCTACACTTCAGTGTAAGCCCAGGGTTAACAGAATTCAATTTAGCAGACAGTGGGTTTATTATAACCTAGGGCTTGAGCATCTACACTCATTTGTAATCCCATGTTAGGAATTGTTGAACCCTGGATCCCAACCTGGGGCTCTAGCATCTACACTGCATTATGTGGGGCTGAATCCAACCACCCATATCCCAGACTTCTTAACACCCTCCCAAAATGTGGCCGCTCTCGCCCTTTGATTATGGTGCAGTGTGGAAAAACTTGACTGTCCCTCAAATGTGACTGTCTAGAGGACAAAAAGTTGGCCTGTGGGATTGTGGAATACTTTTGGCAGTCTCCCAGACCACAAGTCCAGTGGGGCTATGTCTATGCTGGAGAGCAATAGGGCTTGAACTGTGGGTCCTGGCTTGACTCAGGCCCTCCACCCCTTTGGGGTCCTGGGTCTGAGACGTGGGTTAGAGAGAGCTGTGTGTTAGAAGGAACGCGGGGCTGGGCTTGAGCCTGAATTCCAACCCTGGGCTTACACTGCAGTGTAGACATACCCATAGAGAACAAGGTAATCCTTTCCCTATTCCTTACCCCTGTTACTCTGATGGTGAGTTTGTGTCTGTAGACTGCCCTTTATATTCATTGCCATACAAGCATAACTCCACTTCTAATAAAGTTTTCAAAACATTAAAAAAAATGCAGTATGGTCCATCAGAATAGCAACTTACCAGTTTCTATCATTAATCTTTCACTAGGAATTGACTTCAGTGTTTCTAAGTTGGCTTCTGTTTTCAGTGAGCTAGAAATCATAAAAATAGGGAGTGAATTTGGACTTAAGTTGATGTTTTGTTAAAGGACTGTGGCTTTGTGTTCAAACCATATTTAAGTCATGTGTGACTAGAATCATCTCAGAGCCTTATGAAGCTCATAACTTTTAGAAATTAATTACAGTGTTGTCTGGCTGCTATTTAATTACCTTGCTTACAAAATGGTTTCTTAGCAAAAGTGGTTTCTTAAAGAATTAATTTCTAAATAATGCTTAAGTATTTGCTTCAACTTATATTAAAAAAAAGTTCCCAGCTGTGATTCCAAGCCACGGCTAAAAATGACAACCCTGGGAGGTGGCCCAGGAAAGAGATCTTGGAATCATTATAGATAGTTCTCTGAAGATGTCCACGCAGTGTGCAGCGGCAGTCAAAAAAGCAAACAGGATGTTAGGATCATTAAAAAAGGGATAGAGAATAAGATGGAGAATATCTTATTGCCCTTATATAAATCCATGGTACGCCCACATCTTGAATACTGCGTACAGATGTAGTCTCCTCATCTCAAAGAAGATATACTGGCATTAGAAAAAGTTCAGAAAAGGACAACGAAAATGATTAGGGGTTTGGAACAGGTCCCATATGAGGAGAGATTAAAGAGGCTAGGACTTTTCCACTTGGAAAAGAGATGGGGAGGATATGATAGAGGTATATAAAATCATGAGCGGTGTGGAGAAAGTGAATAAGGAAAAGTTATTTTCTTGTTCCCATAATATAAGAACCAGGGGCCACCAAATGAAATTAGTGGGCAGCAGGTTTAAAACAAATAAAAGGAAGTTCTTCACACAGCGCACAGTCAACCTGTGGAATTCCTTGCCTGAGGAGGTTTTGAAGGCTAGGACTATAACAGGGTTTAAAAGAGAACTAGATAAATTCATGGAGGTTAAGTCCATTAATGGCTATTAGCCAGGATGGGTAAGGAATGGTGTCCCTAGCCTCTGTTTGTCAGAGGGTGGAGATGGATGGCAGGAGAGAAATCACTTGATCATTACCTGTTAGGTTCACTCCCTCTGGGGCACCTGGCATTGGCCACTGTCGGTAGACAGGATACTGGGCTGGATGGACCTTTGGTCTGACCCAGTATGGCCATTCTTACGTTAGTCCTAGTTCGTTCCACAAATTAGCTTCTACAGCCACACTGACCTGGTAAAACCTGTGGAAGCTTCTGCTGGGTTTCTGTGTTCACCTGGATAACTTAAAGGCTCCTGCCAAAGGGTGTAGCAGTCTGAGCTCATGTAAATCGAACAGTTACATCTCAGTATAATTAATAGTGTGATTTCAGCCCAGTCCGTTGGTAGATCAGGCTGGTCACATTAATTCTTGGTTACTTTTGGACTAGACAATGTAGTTTACTTTTTTTACAGTCTGTCCAAAAATACAGCTGCCTCTACACTCCATCACCTCATTTATTTACAAACAAGAATTGGCATGGAGAGTCTCAGAAAGGGCCCAAGACTAGATTATCTCAGTGAGTAAAGGGGAATGTATTTGACCTGTGAATTAAGAACTTTTTGCAGTTAACAGATTAATAAGTGCAAATCTAAATCTGTCTACAAATGATCACTTAGTCTAATGAGCTTTGAAGACTTAACCTCATTTAAAAAAGTAATTACATTTCAAGTTATGAAACCATTTTAAAATAGAATTTGTTGAAAAGAACTTACCAACCATTTATTCCTATATAGAGATCCAAATCTATTATAGCAGCTGCTTCTTCCTTTGTGCCATCAAATGAATGTACCTAAAAAAGATGTTTTTATTACATAAAAGTATGTAACCTGTAACCCAAAATTAATATTTGTGTAAATATTTATAGTTCTTAATTGTAAAGTAAAAACCAGAGGTAATATGTAAGATATATTTATATAGAATTCAGTGAATTAGAGAGTCAGTAAGGCTCATCTGATAGCACTTTTGCTTTTGGACAAGAGGGTAACAGGCTGAATTCTGCATCTGAATATTGAAAAAAGAATGCAGCCCCTTGACAAGTAGTGTTGGCTTTGAAAGTGTTTCAGAAGGATGGCCTGCCCTTCTCTCTTTGCCAGGGATGATGATTATATCTTAAAGTAACCTGCAAGCGTTTTTTAAAAAATTGTCCTTTGGTTTGCAGTTATATTTTTAACATTAAAATTTCTGCAGATATATACTGGTTGAAAGTTACATCGGGACATAGTTTTGACAAAGTGTTTTGATATAAAAAAGTGAATGTTTGTGGTTACAGTTCATGCTGGAGCATGCAACAGACAAGAAATTAAAAATGCAGTGGTACAAAGTTAGTTGCACCAGAAAAAGTGCAGTTTGTCAATCACAGAAAAGGCATCCTAGACAGTAGCGGCAGTAGGACCAACGATGGAGAGGACTTCATCACTAAAACAGACTCGTTTGGAGTGATGTAAGCATGACCCTTATGTTAAAAGTATGACCTATTTTTTTTTTTACTCTTGGTGATACAGTATCCTACCAATCAATATCTAAACCAGTGTTTCCCAAACTGGGGTTCGTGAACCACTGGGGGTTTGCGAAATGTTACAGGGGGTTCTCAGGAAAAAATTCCCTAATGGCGGACAGAGCTGTCCCTAGGAACCCTGGGCAGCCTGGGGCCAACAGCCCCTGGACTTCCAAAAGCTAAGCAGATCAAAGCAAGCATATCTATCACACCGAGGAGATTTAAACTTCAAGACTCCTTCTAAGAAATGGAAAGGGAGGTGGATATTTTTTGCTGTTTTTAAAAGTAAATAGGCAGCTAGTATTGTTTTTATAATTATTATGAAGAACAAGTTTAAGCTTTGTTGTAACGTGCGTTGTTTGCCTGGACTGCTCGAGACCTGAATGCTTGTGTAGGAGGAACTCTTTGAGTTGGCTTTTTAAATACCTTCACACTGTTTCACATCTGATACTCCTTGATGAAGCATAGGAGCCTTGTCTTATAACAGGCTTATTCAAAGTGATACAAGCTACGAAAGTGAGATCTTGGAAGAGTGTTACCATTTTCATAATGTAATAAAAATACTGTAATGATAAATAATTAATAAATATTGTGTAATAAGCATGTCATAAAAACAAATTTTATATTTCCAAGATCACTGCTTTTATAATGTATACTCCGGTAAAGGCGAAAATCCCTGGAAATATTCATTTTTAGGAGGGGGTTCATGAGACTTGACATTTTAGTGAAAGGGGTTCACAGGTTGTTAAAGTTTGGGAACCACTGATCTAAACTGAACCTTGCCCATGTCCATGTACAAAACCCACCATTTGATATTGGGTTTCAATTTCTAGACAGGATTAGTACTCCTTACAACTAACTGCAACTGTAGAGGCTTCAGAATTGGGAAGGGGCCAGTTTAAGCAAGAAGTGCTTAAAGCTGCACTTCTGGCAAGCCAATAAAAACTGCTGATGTCAGCTGCAAAGTCTCTCTCTCCTTGACCAATCCTCATACCTTGCAAGAAACTGTTGGAAAAGCAACAATGGGAAGGATAAAAGTAGTGAAAGGGATTGTAAAGTTACTATGGATTTAGAGTGGTTTAAATGGTTTAACCGGAAATCTACTGAGATTATATTACAAACAAAAGGATAGTACCCAAAACAATGAAATGAGTGCTAGATTGAATATAATTTATTATAAGGTGGTTCATACTTACCACTCCTCCCACACATCTCTCTCTATTCCTTCTCATTATCTCTACCAATTAAAAGAAAGAACAATATAAGCAAAACTAACTGTTTGCTAAAGGGCAAAAGCAAACTATTAAAAACTTTTGTCACATTCAGTCTTGAGCAAAACCCACCTAAAAATTCAGTGTGTGCATTTCTACAGTGGAGAAACATTGGCAATTTTGTTTGCTCTGACAGGTCAAATTGCTTTTCAAAGTATCTGTAAGAAAAAAAATGTTTTTAGATAGAAATTCAGTGCAAGATTGAATAAAAACAGTGAAAAGGATGCCATGAGGCAAAATGGTCTTTTTTAAAAAAAAAACAACAGCAAAAACCCATGTGCATTTTTGTCCACAAGATTTAAGACACTAAAGCAGTGAGATTCAGACTGAGGTTCAGGAGCCACAAGAGGCTCTTTAATGGGTCTCCTGTGGCTCTTTGCAGCACGTGATATTAAAACACTGTGATTTGATTATTAACCAATCTAAGTTATTAGCCAATCAGGATGCTTTTACAATGTTATTAGCCAATCGTTGAATACTTGGTCAGTCATTTTGGTGTGATAATTTATATATATAATACATAAATAGTATAGATCAGAGGTTCTCAAACTGTGGTCTGCGAGTTCCATTCAGGCGGTCTGTGGATAGTTCCCTCTAAGGTGCACGCCTGGGCGGTCGCACATGAGAGAATGAAGGGCCACCCACCTAAATTAGTGGAGCCATTCAGCCATGGCTCCACTAATTGAGAGCCTGGACCCTGGAGAAGACGCACATGTAAGGTGAAGTGGTGGCCTTGGGGCGGGCAAGAGAGGGTGGGTGAGAAGAGGGGGTAGGGGGAATTTGGGGCATGCAGGGCTGCGGCGGCCAGAGAAAGAGGTGACTTTCCCCAGCTCCAGGACTGCAGCTGCCGGGGAGAGATGGCAGCTCTGTGGCTGCTGTGGCAGGGGAGAGAACCCCCTTCTTCCCAGCCCCAGCTCAGGGGTTGCCACGGCAGGGGAGAGAGGGCACAACCATCGCATTCGAAAGTGAAGACTACGGATATTAAAATATGAGTTGTGCACTTTATTTATAGAACAAAAAAATGTTTATTATTAAGGCTTTTTTTATATAATGTTTTTATCCAAAGCGCTTTTCAATAGTAGTTCGCTAATGGTACAAACAACATTTGGAAAGGCCATTAAGTGGTCTGCTGAGACCCTCAGCAATTTTCAAGTGGTCTGTGAAAAAAAAAAGTTTGAGAACCACTGGTATGGACAGTAAATGGAACAATGAATTTGCACTACGGTGGTTCTTTTAGATAATGTTGATGGCTAATTTGGCTCCTGAACTACTGAAGTCTGAGTATTACCGCACTAATGGTTCCACTGAATGGGAGTTTTTGCCTGTGAAATGACTAAAGGATAGATCTTTAAAGGGAAGTCTTCCCCTGGGCACATTACTATATTAAGTGATACATTTTGGTAGTCAGTTAATAAGAGGTCAGGAATGGCAACATTGGGGGAATGCAAAGGGGTTTATGCTGGGCAGACACTGAATCAGAAGTGTGACCTTCCCTTTCTTCCCCCCCCCCTTAAAAAAAAAAAAACTGAATTATCTCCAGGAAGCTTTAAAAATTGAGGAACTTTAGGTTTAAATTTTGCACAATTGCAGCACTTCTCCCAAAAAAGTTAGGAAACAGGAGGGGGTTAATGTCATCTGGATATCAACAGCACAAAGAACAATCAAATTGTGTATCTGTGGGTTGGAGAAAACAGGGGAGCATTCCCCTGGCCTTTATACCCTCAAACAGCTATAATTAGGTAGCAGGCTGCCAGTTATTTTACTTGTATGGTAGGCTACCAAGAAAGACTTTAAATTTTGGTATGTCATTTCTCAATGGAAGATTGAGGTACCAACATTAGGATCACTACTATTATTTCTGCCCTATTTCTCCTTCTATCTATCTGAACCCTCTTCAGATCTTCTGTTATCTATCTCCTCTCCTCCTCCTTTTTTTCTGCATTTGGTTTGCCTAGTCTCTCTTATCTTTCTCCCTCTCCCTGCCTTTTCTACCCCCTGCTAGTCTCTTCTTTGATGGATGAAGGGTCAGTAGTAATGTAGGAGTTCTATAAAGACATACGGAAGGGTGGGCGGAGGGAAACCAACTAGGTTGCCAGTTTTCCCAACACACTTACCAAAGCAAACCAATTAGTATTTCCACGACCATGTCAATTTCCGTTTGTAGCTAGTTCTGTCTCTAGCTTGCTACATTGATCATTTCTGGTTGGTTGGCTGCCAAGCTGTCACCAGACTGGCAAATTACAACTGATCAGGAAATGTGAGGGGGCACTTATGCATGTCATATGGCCAAGAATGAATAGCAGACTCACTGTGAGTAAACACTTTGGAGGATAACATTAATTGGACGAGGCAAGAGGACATTGCTGCCGGCCCAACAAAATGATACTTACTGCATTTGTCAAGTTTCTTTATATTTTGTTGCTTAAACTAATAAGCACAGAGTATTCCTATCCTCGCACCTAAAAAACCCTTTAAAGGGAAAATCCAGTCTACATGCAGGTATGTATGATGCACAGCACCAGAGTGGACTGGACATATATTAATAAATACTTAATATGATAACCATACATACAGAACAAGGGGAAAGAAAAACATGACAAATGCAAAAAAAAGAAAAAAAAAAAAAGAATGAGTGGTAGCACCAGAGAACTAGCATCAATCAAGGGACAGTCACACAAAGCCTACTCTTCCCAAGGGAGAGGGGAGGAAAAAACCAATAGCTATATATATATATATATATATATATATATATAAAGCCAGCTGTCAAACCACCTCAATTATTTAACCACAAAAGCTATAATAGCTAGCAACCAACTATTATTTAACCAAAGAATCCAAATTAATATAAACACAGTATCCAGACAACACACTAAAGGAATTCCATCAACTTGAAAGTTATTCATGTTACATTAATACATATCCCTGAATCTCCTGGCCAATTTTTATGATTTCTACACTGCAACAGGTGAGAAAGAGGAAGAAGGAAAACTTGATAGAAACTGCTCTTGGGGCAGCTTTACCAAAGAACTTTCATCATGAATGGCTGTGCAAAACAGGTGGCAGATATCCTCTAATCTTCATAGAAAATTGTCCCCAAGGAAACAAAGTTACACTACAACAGAAAATAGCGTTTAAGCATGAAATGGAACTTAGAAGTCATACTCAGGTATAACTAGGAAATGGTGTCACTTTTCTTCTCTTACAGGATAACATCTGGCTGACTGCTAGCAATCTTAACTAGTATAACAGTTTGACTCCCTCTAAAATGACAACTGGAAAATTGGCTACACTCACTCCACCATTTTGTTTTTTTCTTTCAGTGTTCTCATGATGTTTTAAAAATTATTAATTTTAAAACTTTGCCTTATCTTGGTTTGAAACTCCAAATGCCTAACACTATGGCATGCAATTTTAAAACTCTCTTAACAGTAATTTTCCCAGACATATGTAGGACAGCTGCCAGCAAAATGCAAAAATATATAAGAAAATAATAAAATTAAATTTACAAATCTAAAAGTGGCATGTGTCTTTCCCCATTTTACATTTCTTTGTTGCCTGCTCTCATTCCCCTCCCCTCCAACCCCCATCTATCTTTTCTCTGTGGTGATTTCCAGCAAGGATGCTAAGTGGAGCCAACAGGAACTGAACTGACAAAACCAATTTATTTCACACAATCCATTGAACAATCCGATGGTAGAGACTTTCTGCCTCTGCAACTCACAGATGATCTCCCTGTTCTATTTTCCCTCTTCTACCCTCCCACTCCAATTTAAGTATGGTTGATTAGAGGTTTTCCTCTAGCCTACTAAAACTATAAGTCAAGCACTTGCATCACTGACCATGCTGATTCAGATAGCTGTCTGTTAGCTTGTATAGTGGAAAGGAACAATTAGACTAAAGATTTATTTCAGTAGCTCAGGCTCTGTTTAGGAAACAGAAGAATCTTCAAAGTGACAGCATCTACTCCTGCTCACTATTCCAATGTTTCATTTCACAGCAATGGTTGAACAAGTCTTCACCAGGCTGTGCTTCATTGAATTCAGCACATTTTGGTTGCTACTGGAAACTAATAATAAGAACAAGAAAAAATATGCTGGCCACTTGGCTGATCCTCTTACTACAAGAGGCTAGAGCAGTAGCATGGGAATGTTGTAGCTTTTAGCCTATTTACAAGCCACTATACCTTCTGTAGCGAAAGCTACACCTTCCTACTGCAGGTGCAAAGTGTAAAAAGTCCTAAGTAACCTCTCCACTTCTGTGAATGACATTAGTTCTCTCCCTGCTCGGACAGCAATGTGCAAGCATCATCCACAAGTCCAAAGGTCATTTTGTTGAAATGTATCATCTACTGTCAAAAATGTATTTCTCAACTGCTTCCCTAGACAGCCCTACTCATTTCTGCAGGGTTTCCTCCCCAACAACACAACCCAATTCTGAGTGCAGTGCCAGCATGCCTCCATCAGAACAACTCTGTCCCTTCCCTGCTCCTTACTGCATGCTTTGTCCTTTGACAAACCGGCCCGCTCCTCACCAGCTTTCCTAGATTGCCCTGCTCCTAAGGCCTCCCTTGCCAATATCTTGCCCCCTTATCCACTGCAGGCTTTATCCTCTCTGACAGTTCCACTCCCTTCTACAGGCCTTCCTTCCCCAGAGCTCAGCTTCTATGCCACTGCCTATTGTATGGTGTCAAGTATCAGGGGTAGCTGTGTTAGTCTGTATCCACAAAAACAACAAGGAGTCCGGTGGCACCTTAAAGACTAACAGATTTATTTGGGCATAAGCTTTTGTGGGTAAAAACCTCACTTCTTCAGATTCATGGAGTAAAACCATGCATGCATCTGAAGAAATGAGGTTTTTTACCCACGAAAGCTTAACAGATTTATTTGGGCATAGTCTTTAAGGTGCCACTGGACTCCTTGTTGTTTTTGCCTATTGTAGGCTTCCCTCCGGACTGGAGCTCCTGACAGTTCTTGAATAGCAAAGTCAGTGAAAGCATCTCCTATCCAGAAACTCACAAATTCTCACTGATTTTACAGCAAGGGAAGTATTGATTCAATGTCAGGTATAAGAGTAGTTTTACAATATTAAGAGTGGAATAAAATCATAGGACTGGAAGGGACATCAAGAGGTCATCTAGTCCAGTCCCCTGCACTCATGGAAGGACTAAGTATTATCTAGACCAGTGGCGGGAAAACTTTTTGGCTTGAGAGCCGCATCGGGTTTCCGAAATTGTATGGAGGGCTGGTTAGGGGAGGCTGTGCTTCCCCAAACAGGCAGGCGTGGCCCAGCCGCCACCCCCTATCGACCCCCCCCCCTGCTTCTCGCCCTCTGATGGCCCCCCCAGGACCTCTGCCCCATCCACTCCCTCCCCCCTGTTCCCTGGCCGCCCCTGGAACTCCTGCCCGACTTCCCCCCGCCGCCCCATCCAACCCCTCCTCTCATTCCTGACTGCCCTCCCGGGATCCCTGCCCCATCCAACCACCCCTTCTCCCTGTCCCCTGACTGCCCCCGAACCCCTGCCCCTGACAGCCTCCTGCCGCCCCATCCAACCCACCCCCTCCTTCCTAACTGCCCCCCCGGGACCCCTACCCCCATTCAACCCCCCCCGTTCCCCGCCCTCTGACCACCCCGACCCCTATCCACACCCTCTGACCACCACCCCCGAACTCCGCTGCCATCTATCCACCCCACCACCTACTCCCTTACCGCACTGCCTGGAGCACCGGTGGCTGGCAGTGCTCCAGGCACGCTGCCTGGCTGGAGTCAGCCACACCACCGCACATTAGAGAGTACCGGGTCAGGCCGCGGCTCTGCAGCTGCGCTGCCCGGCAAGAGTTAGCCACCCCGCCACCCAGAGCATTGTGCCAGTGGCGCAGTGAGCTGAAGGGGAGGGGGAACAGTGGGGGAGGGGCCAGGGGCTAGCCTCCCGGGCCAGGAGCTCAGGAGCCGGGCAGGAGGGTCCCACGGGCCAGATGTGGCCCACAGGCTGTAGTTTGCCCACCTCTGGTCTAGACCATCCCTGAAAGGTATTTGTCTAACCTGCTCTTAAAAATCTCCAATGACAGAGTCCCACAAACTCTCTAGGAAATTTACTCCAGTGCTTAACTATCCTGACAGGAAGTTTTTCCTAATGTCCAACCTAAACCGCCTTTGCTGCAATTTAAGCCCATTGCTTCTTGTCTTATCCTCAGAGGTTAAAGAGAACAGTTTACCTCTCTCCTCCTTGTAACAACCTTTTATGTATTTGAAAACTTATGTCTTCTCTTCTCCAGACTAAACAAAACCAATTTTTTCAATCTTCCATCATAGGTTATGATTTCTAGACCTTTAATAATTTTTGTTGCTCTTCTCTGGACTTTCTCCAACTTATCCACATCTTTCCTGAAATGTGGCACCCTGAACTGGACACAACACTCCATAAAGGAACTTAGCATCGCAACGCTGAGCATCACAGTGCCTTTTAGGTGCCTAGAAAAATCACAGGAACAACATTGCAATCCGCAAAAGCCAGCACATTAGGTGGGAGCCAATCCCCTTGCTCCAATCACTCTTTCATTATTTATCCACAGTGGAACAGCTTCAACAGGAGAGACTGAGGGAGCTCCACATCAGAATATCCCGTAGTTAGACCACCCTCCTGAGAGGTGGGAGAGACCCCTGTTCAAATCCTTTCTACAACTCTGGCAGAGAGGGAGAAATTGAATCTGCGGCTCCCACATCCCAGGTGAGTGCTCTAAACACAGGGATAAAAGTTGTAAGGTGGGCACCACAACCTCCTCCAGCCAGATTCTGAATGGAACCCAATCTGTTCGGTGTGCTCAGAGGTTGCCTACCACATCAGGCCCTGCATGCAACTTAGGCGGCCAAATGCCTATCGTCCCCCAATTCACAGATTGCTCTGGGGCTTTGGTGAGAGACAGGTGTCTGGAAGCCTAGACGGAGGCATCAGTGCACATGTCCCAAGGTCTACAATTTAAGCAACTATGGAACTTTTACAGCAAAAAGTTAGGTGCTGAGTGAGTTTAGGCATCTAGAGGGTTAGACGTCAGCCAAGAAGGAGTTTCATGGATTGCAGTGAGGTTGTACACTGGGATTTAGGTGTTTAACTCTGGAATTTAACCACCTAAATTTTATTGTGAATTGCACCCTAAGTACCTGATTTTTCTTGAATGTAGGTCTCTTTCCTATAAAATCATTATTGCTGGTCAAAAAATAATAGCTTATCAGACTTCAAGTTAGAATAAGTGTATTTTACAGACAGGATAAGGTCTACATACCAACAAATGCCAGTTGCTATAATACAAAATGAAAAATGTTGTAAATCGCTGTAAAGATTTATACATCAGTCTCTATAGTTATGAAATCTTTCTTACTTGAGTTGGGTGTCTTTAGGGCAAAATTCTAATCTATCAAAATCTACAAAAGAAAAAAAAGGAACAATCAATTCCTTGCTTTTTTAGGAATACAGCAAAAGAGAATAATCTTGAGCTATCCCAACAATACTTACCCAGGCCACATTCCCCAATTGCTCTGATCTTCTCCTTATTTTTTTCAACTAGATTTTGCAATTCAGCTAAATATTGGTCAGGGTCATTCTGCTCAAATTCTCCACAGCGGGTGGGATGACAGCCAACCGTACTGTAAAACATGTCTAGTGCATAACAGTATTAGAATTTTATTTCCAGGAATACAATACATTTATATTAAATTAACAGCAACTCATACTGAATTTATTTTTTCCCTGGGGCAAACCCTGGGCAGAAACTGGGCTGGTTCAAGCAAACCAGGTGACCTTCAGCTCTGAGGCTCATGATTTAACATGTGACTTTCTTACTCTCACCTGCTCCAATCTCCTATGCAATCCTTGTTGGGGTGGGAGAGATTCAGTTCAGCTAGGTAAGGGGGTAACTTGTCGAGAAGTTTTGACACTTTGACACCATAGGTTACATTAACAGAATTTGTGGGTATGTTTGTGAAGGATGTTAATGCCACAACTCAACAAAACACTTAAGCACATGAATAATCCCAGCCTTATTCAACAGAGCATTTAAGCATATACTGAATTTTAAGCACAGGCTTAACTGCTTTGCTGAATAGGGATGGGATCATTCACATGCTTAAATGATCTGCTAAATAGGGATCTAGGTGAACAGTGGTTGGAGGTTGCTTTCAAACAGAAAGAGAAAGGGGAACCTGCAAACACTGCAATAAAGAGAAAAATATCCCCATTCCACATGGTAGTCATGTTACTACAATCAGCACAAACTCCACACTGTGTGGCACTGCAAGCCCGAGCAGTAAATACTATACTAGCATTTCAGCTGGCTCCAGAAGGGCAGGGGCCAGAGAAGTATTATTATTACATCCTTCTCACACCAGAGTTGTGAGTCTCTTCCATCCCCTTCTGTCATTAGCTGCTGCTTCCATCTGCTCTATGGTGTTCAGACCAACTGTTCTGCCCTCCCTACTAAGGCTTCTTCTTAAGATTTTTCTTCGGCACCCTTGTTTCCTCTCACCAGTTGGTTTCCACTTGACAGGTTCATGTGAAAGTCTGGGTGTTGGCATCCAGAGTATATGCCCCAAATACCTCAAGCACTTCCTTCTGATTCTGGTAGAGACAAGTTGCTGGTTCGTAATTTCTTGGCTCTTTTCACTGGTGATGAAATCTTTCCATCCAAGGCCTAGGATCTTTCAAAGGCACTTATTTTCAAAAGCACCTGGTTTTCTGTTTGTTTGGTAGATCTCCAGCTCTATTAGCACTGAGATTACGTTTGAGTTGACAATTCTCCGTTTTGTTTTGGCACTCTATATCTTTGATTTCCATACGTTGTTGAGTTTAGTGAATGCTGTGGATGCCTTTCCTATCCTTGTTGTCATTTCTTTCCTGAGGTCTCCATTGGCTAGTCTGGTGCTACCCAGGTAAATGAACTTCTATTCTACTTTTTTGATGGTTTTACCTTACAATAGGATGTCACAGCAAAACATTCGTGTTTCAAGGATGTTTGTGTTGGCGTAACTGATTTTGAGCCCTGCTTGGCTTCCTGTTTTTGCCAAGGTGTCTGTCTTCATTTGTAGCTTTTGGGGGTGTCGTTCAATAGCCCGATATCACCAGAAGTCGGGGTCTTCTAGGCATTAGGTAACTACCCATGCTATGCCAGTGTTTGTGTTGGTAATAGGCTGCTTCATTATCAGATACACAATGCAGCCCTGTTTCATACCACTGTCCATGCTGAACCACGCTGTTGTCTGGTAGTACACTCCTACAGTACACTTTGCATTGCTGTATACAGCATTGATGATGTTGATAACTTTAGCTGGAATTCCATAAGACTGAAGAATATTCTACAATGTATGCCTCTGCAGACTGGCAAATGCCTTTTGAAAATCCCTGAAATAGATAATAAGGGGAGCTGGCTATTCTGTTCATTCTTCTATGATAGAGAAGTACTCCTCCTCCAAAAACACCCTTCATTTGTTTTATCTAGAAATACAGAAACAGAAGATAGGAAGGACTGATATCCACCAATACCTCAAGCCCTCTGTAATAACAAGAAATAAATCATGTAGAATATATCCATCTGACCCGGATATATTTTTTCTTTTCTTTATTCTGAGTAATGTGGATTCTGCCAATAGCTCCAGGAATAAGTAATTTTAAATGTTAATTACCATGGGGAAGAGGGAAATCTACAGCTCCAGAGATTAAATATATATCATGTATTTTAAAGTAAGGATACCGTTTGTCTGTGCCAGCTGCAATGCATCTTTACTATCTTGTAGATTTCCGCCTGTAATCATAAACTAAAATGAAGAAAAATATTGTTAGTAAATGTGTGTTCAACTTTGAATTATCAGCAAAGAACCAGGAAATGCTTCAAAAGGCACTCAGATACCAGTGACAGAAATCACAGAAGAACCTAGACAGAGAAAAGCCAAGCAGCTATTTGTATTATGAATATACACCTCTACCCTGATATAACGCGACCCAATATAAGGCGGGTTCGCATACAAGGCTGTAAAGCTCTGATACGCTGCTCTGAGCACCGTGTTAAAGGTGCCAGGCCAGGGCCAAGGGGTTTGATAAGGGGCAGAGGGTGTCGGGGGCAGTCAGGTGCTTTCCCCCTCCCCCCCCCGGGTCTGGGGGCAGGAGCTGTGGGAGGGCACTTTTGGGGGCCCCGCAGTCCCAGAGTGGCCCGAGGGATTAGCGGGGGGCCGGGAGTAGCCCGCTCTACTTCCCTCACCCCGGCCCTAGCCGTGTCACTCGGGAGAGGGATCCCCCTCGCACTCACCAGCAGCGGCGGAAGCGGAGTAGCCCGCCCCCAGCCCACTCCACTCCGCCAGATCCCAGCCGCAGCATTCCGCTTCCCACTGCAGGCGAGTATGGGGGGGCGCCCTTTCCCCAACCTCCCCGCACTCACCTGCGGCGGGAAGCGGAGCGCCGCGGTTGGGAGGTGGCAGAGTGGAGCGGCTGGGGCCGGGCTGCTCCGCTTCCCGCCGCTGCCGGTGAGTGCCTGTCAGGGGGCAGGGCAAGGGCGGGTGGATAGGGGTCGGAGCAGTCAGGGCACAGGGGGGTTTGGTGGGGTCCTGGGGGTGATTAGGGATGGGGGTCTCTGGAGGGGGCGGTCAGGGAGCAAGGAACAGGGGGGCCAAAACAAGTTTGATATAATGCGGTCGGACCTATAACGCGGTGAGATTTTTTGTCTCCCGAGGACCGCGTTATATCGGGGTAGAAGTGTATTAGTATTCTGATAAACCATGCATTCATTAAGACTCTCAGGAGACATATTAGTGAACGTACTATAGACCAAATCGTGGCTTTTGTTCAGTAGTACATAAATTAGTCTCCCACTTTAATGCCGGTCACAGTCCATTCAATTACTGCAATACCACTATTAATAACAATATTGACCTTTTTGATTTTCATCTTCAAGGCACTTTATTTGGTACTGCGAGGATTAATTCATTTGTAAAGTATAATCCCCATTTTACAGTTGGGGAAATCAAAGTAGAAGTATTATGTGATTTTTAAAAAGCCATCCAGGGAATCAGTATTAGAGCCCCAGGATTATAAATTCAGGAGTTTCTGTCCCTCAGTGTCATGCTCTAACCATAGCATCAGAGTTTGTTACATTAACACTGTAGTTTTAAGTGTCTTCTTAACCTTTCATATGTTGGATGTACATCCAATGTTTTATTGTCTGCAATAAAGCCATGTCTCATTCCCCCAAGGGAGAACAAAGGCAATTGTTCTGCTCTATTAGTTTTTCTTCAAACCAGGTAATGCTTTTGCTATAGAACATTTTCTATCGTATGTTTTTGGAAACACAGGATTGGATTTTAAATTACTTGTGCAAAATGAACAGTTGATAGCTGTGACAGCATGTGCAAATAGGTTAATATATGTGCAAATGCTAAGATTTGGCCATTTGACTACATAATTACTTCATTGGGATATGCAATCACATCAATTGCACATACAAGTTAAGGTATGCAATTATTAGTCCTGAGGGAACTGTGCACCAAAAAAATTAAAAAATCTGCACACATTTTAAAATTCTGCAAAATTCTGCATATTTTGTCAAAATAACACAATATAATCACAAAATTTTCAATTATTTTGGTAATTTATTTCAAAATACCAGTCAGCAAGTATGTCTGTAACAATACAGACTACAAAAAAGATTCAGGAAATGTTTTTTGACAAATAGATTATATACTAGGCATATTAGTACATCTATATGGCTCCACAACAAGCACGGAGGACAGTCTCGCACACCCGCACGCCCAGCCCTGTCCCCCAACCCAAGTGTGGGGCAAGCAGGCTCAGGATCCAAGTATGAAAGGACGTAGTGGGGGGGATCCAGGTCAGTGTTCTGCGTGGGGCAATCTGGGTGCAAGTGGCTTGGTGGCGGGTCTAGGTGCAGGGGGGATCTGGATGCACAGGGGCTTGTTGGGGGATTCTGGGTGCAGGGATGGAGGTCCAGATACAGAGGGGTTGGGCTGGGTGGGGGAGGTTCTGGGTGGGTGGGTGGGTGGGTGTTGGTCAGACTGGGGGTAGTGCCTCATACAGTGACCACTTCCCCTGCAGCCAGGGAGCAATGTCGACAGGAAGCAGGGGGAAGGGAGAAGGAAGGTGGAGCTTCCTGCAGCCAGGGTAGGTTCCCGGGGGTGGGTCTGACCCAACACTGGCCTCAGGAGTGGCCACTGGAGGGGAAGAGGAAGTCCCACCCCCCAGCTCAGCCGAGACTAGCAGCTGGAGCCTGGTGCACAGTAGAAGCCACCGGCTGGGGCATCCCCAGCCCTGTCCCTCCCCAGCTATGAGTGCACCACAATAGCGAGCGAGACAGAGAGAACCCAGCCCTGTCCCCCAAGGTGGCGATTTACATCTCCTCCATCTTCTCCTGACACCCAAACCAGATGTGCCCCTCCAACCCTGATCGCTGCCCAGGAGGGATGCGTGAATCAGTTTTTCTGTGGGGGGAGAGTAAAATCGGTGGGGACGTTAATTCTGCACTTGCGCAGAATTCCCCCAGGAGTATATAATAACACATGTATTGTATGTGCCTACCTTTTTTCAGAATCAGGGCCAACAATGCTCATGATAGCTAAACAATTTAAAAATTTCTCATATACTCTGGATGTAACTGGGGTTTATTATCTACTTGATATATGTCCATAATTCCCATGAATGTTACTGGTCACTGTGCTCCGTTGAGGAGAAATAGTCCCTTACTGTGAAAGATACAAGCTTCTCTAGGACTAATCAGGAGAGCAACGAAACAGCAACATAATGATTGTGACACTGCATGTCAATTTAAGATGTACCTACAGATCTCATTCCTATAAATGAGGAAATGGTTTTTGGGAAATACCTAGAAGTAACATACGTATCTGTCCTTTGGGAGTTTATGTGGGGTCATTACTACCACAGTTTAAAAAACTAATCAATAGTCAGTCTTAAATGGGCATCAGAGGAGTGAATTAAACCCAAACCAGCTCATTGCAGCCAAGGCTTAGGGATAAATGTTCACAGCATACATCTTAAGCACACAATAAGGCACAACTACTCACACAAATAGAAATATTTTCAAAAGAACAATTTAAGTGTCTAAGCCTTAGACTCTAAGGCAACTGGAAACAGAGACAGAAGAGACCTCTGAATCTATGCAAGCTGGAAACAACTGAGCACATGGCTGAGAGTAAGAAATTCCTGAATTCTAATCTGGGCTCTGCTATGTGCTCTTGGGCAAATTACTTAATCTACACTTATCAGTTTCTCTGTGCGCAAAATAGGAATATTCCTAATTGTTTACAACACAGGAGTGTTGTGAGGAGTGGATAATGTTTGTACAGCACTTACATAAGTGCTAAATATTACTGATTCTACATTAGTTACTTTGAGAACTTTTCCCTTGCTCTCCAAATTTTAACTCCTTTCAGATTAAAATACTTGTTCCTGTGAAAGAGATAGGGGTTTTTCTTTTTAAAACAAACTAAGCTGTATGCTTTATTAACAGAGTAAAATATCTTTATAATATCATGAAACTGCTGATTTGTATTTTTGTTTGTAATAACAATTTCTTTAATTTTACAAAGGTCCAATAAAAAGGAGTGGGACTGGATATTTGTTTCTTGAATATTCACTGGTCACTGGAGTTGGGAAGGAGCCTTTGGACAATTTATGAAAACAATTATTTTAGTCAAAGAGTTCCAAGTTTGCACATAATGATATAAATTTAAATACATGTAAGTATTCTACTAACAGTACATCTACTGTTAATACATCTACTAACAGAGAGTCAGCTAATGGCCTGAACCTGCAGACATCTATGGACATGCTTAACTTTACACAGGTGAAAAGCATATGAAGATGATTGAACTAAAGCCGGCTTCTAATTTTCCTTGGGGGTACTCAACCCCGACCTTATCCCCACCCTCAAGGCCCCAACACTTCCCACCCCCGCTCCACCCCAACCCCTCCTCTTTCCTGCCTCTTTCTGACCCCTCCCCTGAACATGCCCCGTCCCCGCTCCTCCCCCTCCTCCCTCAGCGCCTCCTGCATGCTGCTGAACAGTTATTCCGAGGCATGCAGGAGGCACTGGGAGGGGGAGGAATTGATCAGCGGCCCCAGACCTGACTCACAGACCCCAGTTTGAGAACCGTTGAACTAAAGTGTTTACAGAATCAAGGCCACATGAATATTTGGTGTAGGCTGATAGAGGTAATCACAAAGTGAGAGAGTTACATAGACAACAGAAGTCAATACTGGCCTCCTGCAATACAACACACCCAGAAAACTTCCCCCTCCCTCCCTGCTTGCATAGCCTTACATTGTAAAACAGGCCATGACAAGTTCTACACACAAGTTTTTTGAAAAAAGGATGCCCTTACACGTATTTTTGTGACCAGCTAATCATTGTGCACAGGAAGATGTAATACCGGGTACAAAGAATTTTGATTTTGCAGAAAACTCTGCAATGCCAAAGAAAGTTTCTGGCATTTTTATTGTTGCTAATTTCAGTAGAAAATTGTTTTTGTTACAGCTTCAGTATTCCTAAAAACCCTGGCTGTTAAAATCCATTTTTAAAAATTAACAACATCATAACAAAACCACATATACATAATCTATAAAAGAAGTTACCTTTTTAACACCAGTTTTGACTGCTCTCTCTAGTACATCCAAAAAGTCATCTGCAAAAGTAAAAATCTAGTAAATTAAGGACCAGTTCTTAAAACATAATTTAACTTGCACATTCCTTTGCAATAAAGCCATTTATGTATCGTTAATATTATGCTTAACATGGTATGGATAATCTTTGGACACACACAATTAGTTAATCTTTAGGAAGGCAAATAGGAGGAGGATGCAAATGACTAAGAACCTGATCTAAAACCTATTTAAGTTAACGGGATGTTTTCCATACACTTCAATGGGCTTTGGATCAGGACCTAGTTACATAAATGCCGTCTTGAGCTCTATGTCTGAAAAATGTGTTTGCTGAAAGTAGTAGTTTATAGTGGGTCACTGTGCCTCAGCACACCAACAGTCTGACAGCTCACTGCCCGAATGGACCCCCATCTGCTGAGTTGTCTCTATGGGTAGAGAATGTGTTGCTTCACATGTCTGTGGGTGACTGTAGGCCAACTAACCCCACCAATTTTCTGTTCCTCCCTCAAGAGCTGAGCTGCCTTCATGTTTACTCAATACTTGTTCTCCAGTATTGAAACCAAATCCAAATGAAAGGCTGCAGTTAAACAAATGCTGTTTATTTACGGAATTGAGAAGAATTAAAATGAATTACAAGTTCTTTGGTAAGTGGGGAAATTGTCTAATTTCCCTTTAGCTTCTCTAAATAACTCTGCTTTAGAGTTGGTTGGAAAAAGGGTCAGCATATTTCATGAAAATTGTCAAAAGAAGCTAAATGTTATTTTTCAATAAAAAAATAGTTTTGTTTCAGTGGAGGGAAAAAAAACACTCACTTTTTCTTTAAACTTTCTCCCACTGTTTTCCACTAGAAAATGGAGAGGAGAGAATAAAAAAAGTGAAAGAAAGTAGAATTTTCACCACCAAACAAAACTGAAAAAATAGAGAATTTTCATTTACAATTTTTTAATGAAAATGGAAACGTTCTCAAAAAAATGTCCATGTAGTCAAAAAGCCATTTATAAAAAAAATTATCTGGCTCTACTCTGTATCTTTTACTACAATGTTATTTTATAACTTTGTGTATTTCTTACAGCCATACTTCTTAGCTACTTTATCCTTCCACCTCATAAAACAGCAATAGACTGAGGGAAACTATCTTCAGGAATCTAAACAAACTAATACTTATTTGTATTTTGAATATGCTCCTATCATTTGCCCATGTACTATAAGAACAATTATCAGCTTTACAAAATAGACCAATGAAAGATTTAAAATACTGCCATAAATGCAACTCCTGCTGATATGACAAAGTTGATTCTTCTGAATCTGTAGCATAAAGAAATGCACTCTAAAAACCTGTGTATATTTCATATGCATTGCTGTTTAACTTCGATGTATTATACTTAATATGGTATGACTAGTCTTTGGACATAAATAACTGGATAGCTAGAACAAAGTGAAGCCAGCTATCTTGTCTTCAGCAGAACAGATGGACTGGATTAGGGTTGAAGTTCCCACAAACTAAAACAAAACAAAAAGTAGATAGTAGGAAAGCATTGGAGTTAAAATATGCAGGATAATAATATGCTACGCTCTAAGTGTCTTCCTTTTAGAAGCACTAAGGAAGTGATCAGCTGAAAGATTTATTTTGTGTGAATATAAGAAAAAACATCAAAATGGTACCATATAATACAATTTACTTTATCTGGTTTCTTTAAGTATGCCTGGGGAAAATTTGCGCCACTGCTCATGCGCAGAATTTATGTCCCCCACAGATTTCTTTGCTTCCCCGCAGAAAAACTACTTTTTGACAGGGAAACAAAAGAAAGCTGCAAAAGCAGTCACACACCACTCTCTAGCTGTGCAGGTACATCATTTCAGGCACCTGGAGTAGCCGGTGGAGAGGTAAATCACTGCAGGGCTGGGGACACCCCTGCCAGTGGCTCCTACCCTGAGCCGGGATCAACTGCTAGTCCCGGCTGGGCTGGAGGCAGGAGAGGACGGGGCTTCCTCTTCCCCTGCAAGATGGACCAATAAAAAGGAGGTGAACAAAAATATATGGGAAGAAAAACCCAGAGGAAAGAAAAATAGAAGAAAATTTGCTCAATGTTAGGATTGAAATTATAATAATAATAATAATTATCTGGAATTCACGTCAGTACATTGTATAAAACCTCACACCTAAGATTTTTGAATCTCCCTTTTTTTTTGAAAGAAGAGAGTGGAAAAGAAAAGGAACGTGTAGGAGAGAATTCTCTGACAAATATGAAATTAATGCCCTGAAGTACAATGTATCACAAAATAATTCACATGGAAACTAAAGAGAAAAAGAAGCTTGAAGATTTACAGAATGAAATCTTGACTGTCTCTCAGTAAATATTTATTAGTAATGACAGTGGGTACAGCTCTGTACATACACAATAGAAGTCATGGATCTTGTCACATAAAACTTACAATCTAAACCAGACAGACACTACAGTCTAAACATATAGGACAGGACCCTCAGCTGGTGCAAATCAGAGTAGCTCCACTGATTACAATGGAGTTACCAAAGTATACCAGCTGATGATCTGTCCCACAAAATACAAAGGCTGGAGGCGTAAACTCAGATCTGTCTGCATAACCTTGTAAAACCACTGTGGAAAGACTTTACGAAAATGTTCAGCTACTTAGATTAGTATCTGTATGGAAGTTACATTGCAAAATATATATATATATATATATACACACTACTTAGAAGATATAAACATTTATTTTTAAAGCGCCAACATCACCTTGGGCACTATAGAAATAAATAACAACTAGATGAAAGCCTATTGCTGTTGTATGGGTGTAAGTGTAAAAAAGTGGAAAATGTCTGAGAACTTGAAAACTGGACATTAACAGACCACAAATTCCAGTGATGATTGAACCTGGTGATATACTAAACAAAAAGAGCTCTCAACTATGCTTGTAGTTGTTTCCATCATTTCAAACTACCTTAAAACAGACATTCTAAGCTTAGAATCATAGGGTTAGAAGGGACTGCAAGGGTCTAGTAGTCTAACCCCATGCCAATAACCCTGTTACTTCCCTCTGAAGCACCTGGCATTGGCCACTGTCGGAAGACAGGATACTGGGCAAGACGAACCATTGGTCTTATCCAGTATGGCTGTTCTTATGCCAAGATGCAGAATTTATTGTGTCTAAACCATCCAAGACAGATGGCAATCCAGCCTCCTTTTGAAAACCTCCAGTGAAGGAGCTTCCACAACCTCCCAAGACAGGCTGTTCCATTGTCTTACTGTTCTTACAGTTAGGAAGTATTTCCTGAGATTTAATCTAAGCTTCAGAATGACAATCCTGGAATCTCATAATATAGATAATGTTGCTTAGATACTACACGCAACTGCTGAGAAAAAAAGATGAATATTTCATATTTACTGTTCAGGTAAGAAATATGATAAAAGAAACTCCTTGAATCTGTCAAAAGTTATAAACATTTACCTTGATGTTTCCGTGTACCTCTGTAAATGCCTCTGAACATAGGATCTGTCAGGTTAATACCGATGTCTGCAGTGAGAAAAACAATGCAGGCTGAATTAACTGTTATAGTCTTTCTATTTCACATGTAGATCAACAGGGTCGGTGCTGAAAGTAAGACACGGAGAAACAGATACGTCTTTGCGTACATGATGGTTCTGAGGGGCACCAGATACCACAGAGACAGATCGATAGTTTAAAGCTTAACTTAAGCATGTGTTTTCTTCGACACTTCTGAAATTTAACTAATCCTTCTTAGACTTGATAGAATGACAAATTCTGGCCTATTTGGGAATAAGCATCAGACTCATTCTACCTTATAAAATTTGTACCCAGGATGGGTAAGGAATGGTGTCCCTAGTCTCTGTTTGTCAGAGGGTGGTGATGGAGGGCAGGCGAGAGATCACTTGATCATACCTGTTAGTTTCACTCCCCCTGGGGCACCTGGCATTGGCCACTGTCAGCAGACAGGATACTGGGCTGGATGGACCTTTGGTCTGACCCAATACAGCCGTTCTTATGTAAAACCCGACTCCACCTACAGCCAAGCAAACGCCTAAATAATAACCCTGCTATTTAACGGTGTGTATCGGCACAGCTCCAGCAATGCTCCCTAGTGCCAGTCCAGGGCAGAGCAGCGACCCAGGGACAGATGCAGCATCTCCCGCCCCTGCTGGGCCAGTGGCAGGCAGCTTCTCCAAACCGGCCAGCCTCCCCGCGTTGCCCGCGGGACAACCCACAGGCAGAAAGACGCGGCGGGGGACCAGTTTCTGCCAGTGCACGAGACAAGCTCTGAGCTCGGCCCCGGGGGTGGGGGAGAGAGACGCTCCCCCCGCCCCATGCGGGGGGGGGACCCACACCCCGGAGCCCTCTGCCCGCACTCCCCACAGCCGGACCCCGGGACACCACGCCCGCCCCCTCACCGATAAATTTAAAGCGGCTCATGGCTACAGCAGCTCCGCCGTCTCCTTGTTCCGGGCCGGCGGAAAGAAGGAAGCGTCCAGCTGGGCGTCGCGGGCTCCGCCCCCTTCCCGTCGGCCCGCGCGCGCCCTTGGCGAAGGGGAGGCGGTGGGCTGGGGCCGAAGCCCAAGATGGCGGCGTACCTCACGCACCAGCAGAAGGTGCTGCGGCTCTACAAGCGGGCGATGCGCCAGCTCGAGTCCTGGTGTATCTACCGGTGAGAGCGGGTGGATCGCGACCCCACCCCGCCCTCAGCCCTGCTGGGGGGAGACTCCCCCAGCGCCGCGCCCGGTCCCCTCGCCGAAGCGCCCTGGGGGCGCCCCCTGAGCGGTCTCCATGGGGGGCTGGGCGCTAGGCAGGGCTTGAACTGGTGCCTCAGGCGGCTGCCTTTCCCATCCCCCATTACCCGCCCCCCTGGGCTCTCATCCCGCCGCAGCGCGAGCTCCTGGCAGTGGCAGCGCAGGCCCCGTGGCCTGAGCGCTGAAACCTCGGGCCCCGTTCCCCTCGCCGGGGGCAGGCGTAGGACGGGCGGGCGGGCAGGAGCTGAGCTCGGGGGATGGGGCTTCTGAGCCTGGAGGTCGCTGTCTGCGGTGGCTGCGCCCACCGGTGACGTTTCTGATGCCAGTAACGGTCAGTCATCAACGGGCGGGACGCGGGTCGGGGTGAGGTGGGATCACGCTGGGGCTTGAAGGGAAAGACAAGGGCATTGAAACCAGACTGATCCGTTTAGGCTTCAGCCCATCTCCGCTGTCTGAAAGATCGCGGGCATTGGTGAGGTACTAAAGTCTCTTCTATTCAGTCTTGTTTGAACTTTTCCTTCACTTTAAAGTTTTTAGTTAAACAGTAGCCTATTGTGTTAATACCCAGCTCTAAACTAGCCCTTTCCATCCAGAGTCTTCAAAGAGCTTTGTGAAGGCAATCAGTATCGTTATCCCCATTTAACAGATGGGGAAACCTGAGGCCCAGAGACTTGACAGGATTTATCCCAGGTCACCCAACAGAATAGCAACAGAGCCAGGAATAGAACCTAGGTCTCCTGAATTCCACTCCAGTGCTCTATCCGCTACATCATGGAATATCCATCACTTGTGGTCTTCAAATCAGGACTCAGTATTCTTTTTAAAGATATGCTATAGCTCAAACAGAAGTTACAGGCTTGATGCAGCAATTACTGGGTGAGGCCCTATGGCAGTGGTGGGCAGTCTGCGGCCCGTCAGCGTAATCTGCTGGCGGGCCGCGAGACAGTGTTTACATTGATCTTGCGCAGGCACGACCGCCTGCAGCACCCAGGAGCCGTGGTTCGCTGTTCCCGGCCAATGGGAGCTGTCGGAGGCAGTGCGGGCTGCAGGGACATGCTGGCCACCACTGCTCTATGGTCTGTGTTATGCAGAAGATCAGATTAGATTAACATAATAGTCCCTTCTGGCCTTAATCTATTTGGCCTCAGTCAGGATCATCAGGGCCCTGCTGTGCTGGTTGGTGTACAAATACTTAGATGTTCTCTGTCCAAAAGAGTTTGCTACTTTTTTAGGGTAGGTTGCTTATTACTAACAACTTTAGCATTCCAGTAGGCCAAAAGGCTCCTATCAAAATCCTGGCCCCATTGTGCCATCTGCATTACAAACATGGATAAAGAGACAGCCCCTGCCCAGGAAGGCATGAGTCTACAAAAATACAGGAGCAGACAAAGGATTAGGGATGTGGCTATAACATAAAAATAACTGAAACGGCCACAGTTTTGTTACTTGCATAAGGGGCAGCATGGGAGAGTGCAGAAAATTTAAGGGAGAAGCTTATCTGTGGGCAGTGTCTCAAGTGCTAGAGCAAGGCAAATTGTGAAGGCCTCAAAGATAAAATCAAGAAGTATTGTTTGATACAAGAATGAAGAAGGAGCCAGTGCAGGGATTAGGTTAGTGCAATGATGTGATAAGTGGTGTGAGCCAGGAAAACTATCATAACATCAGCGTTTCAAATAAACTTGAGAAGGTCAGTTTGCAGTCAAGCCCAGGGAGGTTGCAGTAGTCAGGGTGCAAGATTATGGGAGTTCTGGTGATGTGGACAGAGAGGACAAACAGGATTGTGGAGATGTTATGAAGGAATTGTCTAGATAGTGCCTGGATGGGTAGAACTGCAGTAAGGGCTTAACTTGTTTATACTTAGATAAAGAGTTTGACTCATTTCAGATTAGACAATATACAAGGAGAACGTATTGTAGACATCCAATGACTAGATGACCCAAGGAGGCTCTTCTATCCCTGATTTCCATGAAGAATGGTGATAATGATGTGAATTCTCAAAAGGTCAAGGGCAAGTCTTTTAGTCTGTGGTGAGGAAACTTCTAATATTCCCATACTAGAAAACAATGCAGAAAACAACCCTGATATTTTTACCACTAGAAGTGTTGCACATTATTTGTATCTATAGAGACAAGTATCGATTCTTTGCCTGTGTGCTGAGAGCGCGGTTCGAAGAACACAAAAATGAGAAGGATATGGTGAAAGCAACAAAACTGCTGATAGCTGCTGAGGAAGAATTTTGGGCAAAGCAGCATCCTCAACCTTACATCTTCCCCGAGTCTCCTGGAGGCACAGCTTATGAGAGATATGTAGGCTACAAGGTAGGTAAGCTGTATAGTAGTATCAGTGGAATGTTTGGCCTATGTTGTTCTCTCCTGTCTTAATAAGTTGTCTCTTGTTCTGTTGGGAGTGGAAGATGGGAATTTCAAGCACTGTTTATAGTATCTTGCTCTTTTGCTGGTCTGTCAGGACTCTAGTTTCAGTTTGGTCGATTGAGGGACCTCTGCTACTTCAGTCCCCCATTGCCTTACTCCACTAATATTACAAACTAGGTTTGTAGATGTTCAGAAGATGCTTTGTGGATCTTAATGATATGTTTGGTATTTGAATACTACTGTATGATGGGCACTAAGAAAAACCAAGAGACTTACTTTAGAGTTCTTAGAACGGTAAAGTTAATAAATAAAAATAAAGAAACTCCTACTTAAAGTTCTTATATGAACTCTAAGTCTGATCTCTTCTTGTTTCTTGTATGCATTACAATAAGACTATAGTTCTGTATGTTACAACCGAGATCCATCCTTTCCTACATCCGTAAATAGGATTTGACAGAGAGGATAGTGGCCTTCCAGATAAATCCAGCAGGATGTTCCATGCATAAAGGGTAGCAAGAAAGAAACAAATGGAAATCAAGGCTGCTGATGGCAGTGGGAATTGAATGGCAACCTGATAAACAAGCAAATACATAAGAAGGGAAGAGCTGTGAAAGATCTTGAAAGCAAGAACAAGAAGCTTGAATTTGTTGTGATGGAAGGATTCAAAGGGGGTTGGGTTTACATGATCAATGCAAAAGATCAGGAAGATCACCTTAACTGTGCTTGAACAGACTTGGGAGGGACATGGGTTGTGGGAGGTTACAATAATCAAGGCGAGGGATGAATGATTCTTAACAGTATGCACAGAAGATAGTCAGTTTGGGAAATGATATGGAGGGAGAAGCAACAGGATTTGTACATGGCCTTGTTGTGAGGGAGAAGGAATCCATGATGCCCAGGGCATGGGCCTGAGCGATAGGGAGGATGATAGTGGTGTCAACAATGACAAAATCAAAACAATGGGAATTGTTTATGATGAAAGAAAAATGGACAAGATTCATCTCAACATAATTGTTTTTTAAAATGTCTCTCTTCTTCTTTCTCTTCCTGTTTGGCTAAATCCCAAGTAGAACAATAATTGCTGGGGATGAGGCTAGATGGACAGCACAGGCTGCCCGAAAAGGATACAGCTACTTCAAAAAGCAGTTGCCCTAAGAGTCCAGGAAAGGGGAGACATGTCTGTCTTCCTCACCTCTCAAGAGATGGCAGAGATTCCAGGGTGGGACACTGCTGCAGTGATCTTACTAGATCAGTATTGATGCTACAGAGGGTTCCTGGGCTAGGAAGGGACTGGTTTTTGTTTGTTTGTTTTTTCTGTTTTGTTTTTCCCCCCCCCTCTCATAAAAAGGGCCAGAGCTGGGTGGGAGTGGGAGTTTGCTGTGGAGTTTATAACCCTCTGATTAAGTGTAGGTTTTTTTGTTTTTTAAAGGGTCCATAACAGGCTCACTTCATGTCTTTCATTGTTCTTCCCTTAGTGTACTATCACTTTGCTACAGGGGTCTGTCCCCAGATTGTGGGTTGAGGGATTTGGCAAGAGCTGAAAATCCCATGTAAGTTTATGCTCCAGTGTTGTAAGGAAGACAGACCCCAGAGTAGGAATATTAACATGAGAACTTTTTTAACAATGTTCACATGTGGTGCCTGTTTCTGTACATTCAGAATTTATAAAGAATTGAAGACACTAACAAAGTAAAGCTAAATCTATATTCTAGTTTTAATTAAGGATAAATGTGTACAAGGTGTCTGAATTCTTTGTGCCTAGAGACTGAAACAAAAATGTGTACTTCCCATGTTCTCAGTTGTAAGAACCACAACTTAAATAGCTTATCCACTTTTCCCAAAATTCTGATTTGATTGAAGATGAAGCATACAAGGCTCCAAGCTGAACACTTGTGTTTGCATGTACAAAAACAACAACAACACACTATTGAGTCTAGAATGGGTTCACTAGTGACTCCATCATGGTTGAACAGTGTAAATGTAGCTAACTGGCTGGTCTGATGCATTTTACATCTTTTCAAATCCCATTTTCTTAAAGTGTATTTCCTGGGAGAAGATTAAATTGTCATTGTTGAGATTAAAGCACTTTGTATAGTAACTGATTGAAACAAATAGCAGCAAAAAATGCTGTTTAAGGGGACACCATCAATTTAGAAGTGACACTTGTGTCTGAGAGCTTATTTGGTGATAAGTAACACCTAAGACGACAAACTGAAAGGGGTTAGAGAAACGTGTTTCTCTTAACTTTTGTTTTTACTTTGTGCACTGGATAGCACTAGTCAGTTTCATTGTTTCCTCTGTATAGTCCTTTTCTCCTCTTGATGATATGCATCTTTCACCCCACAAAAGAGAAGGGAAATATTTACAACAGGAACTTGTACTACATAAAAATTTTCATGAGGTCTTGGACAGGTGTAATACTTGGAACTACGATTTTATCTTTCTCTACTGGGGGGATTCTGTGCGTCCTACTTGGAGTCCAGAAGACACATCCATCCACCATTTAATCCAGATATACCACCTCATCTCAACTAGACATCACTTCAGAGTTCAGATTGTACCATAATCTTCTGGATATGTGATTGCTAAGCTACACAAAACCCTTATAGACAAGCAGAAGTAAACTGTGAAAGTTAGACCACTGTGTTATAATTATATTTTGCCTTCATCACTTCATCTGGTTTGCACCACAAATGCTGGTAACTAAACCCCAAATTTAGGAGGACGTGAGTTTTTAAATTACACCTCTTCTGTAATTGTTAACTCATAGTATAAGCAATTGGCATTCTTTCAAGGGCAAAAATGAAGGTAATAGGCCTAGTGAACAGAATACTGGACTGGGACTCAAGAGGCCTGGGTTCTATTTCCATCTCTGCCACCTAAGGGTGACCTTAGGCAAGCCACTTCACCTCGCTGTGCCTCCATTTCCCTTTCTGTGAAATGGAGTTTAAAAATACTGACATTCTTTGTAAAACACTGAGATCTACTGCTGAAAAGTACTATATAAGAGTTGGGTAGTATTATGTAATGCTTTGCTTTATGGGCCATTTACCTATGTTGTATTAATGTGATTGCCTAAGCTATGTTGCTGTATATTCTGTAGTTTCTCATATGTAGTGCCTGGATTTTTGACAGGCTCCTGAGTGGTGCTTGGATTTCTGGCATCCTTCTGAGAAGGCAATGTATCCTGATTATTTCGCCAAAAGAGAGCAATGGAAGAGGCTGCAGTTAGAAAGCTGGGAAAAAGAGGTCAGTACTATTTCAATGCAGAGTGAAGCTCAGTTAGCGTATGACTCTGTGCTTTCAAATAAGCAAACTTAATATATTCCAGACTCCAACTGGGTGACAAGAAACACTTTAAAAGTGATTACTTGATTTAAGCATGTTACTTAAATTTCCCTAGTGAGGTCTTAATTAGACTGACAGCTTTCCGTATGCAGATATCTTAATGACACACAACTTCATAAGAACTCTAAAGGATCATTTCAGAGTTAAAGCTGCAACTATATCTTTGTGTCATCCTGTTGTGGCTAAGTATTGCACCAGGTACACTAAAAGTTATAAGTGTCACACTGGGACAAATAGGACAGTAACTCTGATATTATTATTATTACAGTAATATACCTTTTGCAGGTAGAAGCTCTGAAGAAATAGGTATGTGCTTTTGAAAAGCTCATTTTGTCAACATGCTTTAAAGAATTCAGAACAATCTTGGGCCATTTTCCATTTAGTTTTCAGCAGGGAAAAAAGTTGATAATTATGATGAAATCTTGAACTTTTTCCAAACGTTAATGTTTAGGTAAATGGAGGGGATTTGTGATTATGCAATTACATAGTGGTGGTGAAGCTGACCTTAACACGAATTGTCACATTCTTAACTTCAAAAACGATCAACTCAAAATAACAGCAGATGGGAGCTGAGGCTCTTGGCTCCATATAGAACTTATTTCATGTTTAAAAAGGTTTTAGCCTGCTAGGACATTAGAGCAAGTCCTTTAAAGTCAATGAAAAGACACTTATTGCCTAAGTGGTGCTGGCTTGGGTCGCTAATATTTAATAGAGTATCTGATAGGCTTCCAAAGCAGAGGGAGGATACTCATTAACTGTAACAAATAATGGAATAAGCTTCTGTTTAAAATATTGCTTTGTCATTTGAAACTGCAAATGAGCACTAGATAGTGCAGTCAACCTAAATGAGGGAATTTTATCTGTATTGGCTCTATCCTGTTCATGAAATCAGTTCATTTGGTTATAGTTGTGACATAAGGAACTGTTCTGGGCCTATATTTGAGACCAAAGCAAAATACCAAAAGAAACAAACCAAGATTCAAGACTTAAGTACACTGGGTGAAGTTTGTTTTCTTGTATGTTTTAGGTTAAGCAGCTAGAGGATGAAACTCCGCCTGGTGGTCCTGAGACTGAAGCCTTGCCCCCAGCTCGCAGAGAAGGGCATCTGCCACCTCTGTGGTGGCAGTATGTAACAAGACCCCGAGAACGGCCAGTGTAAAAGAATCCGTGCATGAACAAGCAAATTACACTCGAGTAGTTTGTTCTCTACAACCAGTAGGAATTCCAGTTAACATGCACTATTGTACTTAATGCACAATAAAACTAAAATAAACATGAATATACTTTAGATGGGATTTGGTGATGTGCTGCTACCTTAACTCTGGCATCAAGACTACCTATTGTACAGTAGAACCTCAGAGTTATGAACACCTCAGGAATGGAGGTTGTTCATAATTCTGAACAAAACATTATGGTTCTTTCAAAAGTTTACAGCTGAACATTGACTTAATACAACTTTGAAACTTTACTATGCAGAAGAAATACACTACTTTCCCTTTATTTTTAGTAGTTTAACAGTACTGTATTTGCTCCCCCCCCCCCCCATTTCTGCCTGATCGTGTACTTGCAGTTCCAAATGAGGTGTGTGGTTGACTTGGCAGTTTGTAAGTCTGGTGTTTGTATCTATGAGTTCTACTGTAATGTGTAGGCATCTGTATCTTCACAAATCATTTGGCTCCTGTAGGTCAGATGCCTTTTTTCAGCCAAGTACACAACATTTCAGTTGGATGCTGTGCATCCCTCTACACGACCTCTTCCTGTAAAACGTTAATTCTGCTTCTGAAATGTTAATTTCTGGCCTTCCCTAGTTTGATTGGAGGATGACTGAATGAGGTTTTTATTGAAGTTAAATAGGTGCCAAGTTCTCAACAGTGATGAGAAATCTCTAACCCTCTTAATAACTGAACTTTCACTCATGCCTTGTGTTATCATTCACACTAGTTCTTCCATTAGTCTTTCCTCCTAGACAGGATATGAATTTCAAAGGTGAAAGACAAGCAGAAAAAGATGGGCAGGCTGCCTCTATAAAATGAAGCAGAAGAAAAGGTCACGAGCCCCGCTTTCTTCTCTTTGCTGTTTTGCTTTAAGACACTGCACTTAACTACTACTACATGGCAAGACAGAATAAACTAAAGTGTAAGCACTTGTCCAAAAATGCATTTGGATATCAGCAATTTTATGTAGTACTGCAAACTATAAGTGCATCGCTAGTAAACTAGTTGCATTATTTTTGTTTCATGTTAGAATGCTTGAGAGCCTTCTACTGATTTGGCTAAATGGACTAAAAGTGATTTGATCTTTAAAAACCACCAACCTGTAAAGAACCGTTTTAATAGTATTTGGCTTGATGCAGCAGTCTCCTCTGGTGGAAGAAAGTCCTAGTTTCAAGCACTGGGAATAAATGACTTGTTTATCTTAAACTGTGTAAATGTGTTAGTCAGCAGGGAAATCTAGATGTTCTTGCATTCATTAAGATAAATGTTCCTTAATGAAACTAAGGTAATGCAAATGCTAGATGCAAGTTTGTTTATGCAGTGGTACCAACATTATTTATGCAAAGTATCACTTTTCCTTCTCTGAAGCTGGTCCATGGTGCGGATATAAAATTTTATTAAGATGTTTAAAAAAAGTGAATGGTACAGAGTTTAAGCATAGAAGTTTCTGGTTATCAGGGAATAACCTACAGATTATCAAGGGGGTGCAAAGTTCAGTTTAAGATCGGGTGGTGTAAGGAATACATAATCTACAATATTCCTGATTGGGAGTAAAAGGTTGATGGGTCCAAGAACCACTTTTCCTTCTCTGAAGCTGGCCCATGGTGCTCTCTGATATAGTACAACTGAGAAATTCCTCATCTGCCAAGCACAAAGCCTTTTTCCCCTTAATCCCCTCTAGCATTACCATGTAGTACCAGCAGGTGGACATGTTTAGAGACCTGATTGCCTCACTAACTCTAGAAAACTGCTGAAGCGGAGAAAACAAACTATATCAATTCTGATTACTCATTTCTAAGAGTAGTCTCCTCCCATGCAGTATACGATCTTAGTTACTAAGTATCAGGGGGTAGCCATGTTAGTCTGTATCTACAAAAACAACAAGGAGTCTGGTGGCACCTTAAAGACTAACAGATTTATTTGGGCATAAGCTCTCGTGGGTAAAAACCTCACTTCTATGCGTCTGAAGAAGTGAGGTTTTTACCCACGAAAGCTTATGCCCAAAATCAATCTGTTAGTCTTTAAGGTGCTACCAGACTCCTTGTTGTTTTTGATCTTAGTTACTCTTTCATTAATACATAACAAATGGGAAAGATTTATAGCAAGAAAGATTCCCTTGTGAGAATTCTAAGAATCTCCATCTCTCTGCAGGAATGCTCTGTAAAGGAAAAAGGGAAGAATTTCCTTCTAATAGGAATTTAATGCCAATTAGGTGATGTCCTGGGTGGGGTTCTCAGAGCACCAGTTGCCCACTTCAAAGAAGGAAAAATGCTGAGTAAGTAATTTGTGCTTATGTGTTAGTGTAGAATCACAGCCATTCAAATTGTTTATTGCTCAAAGCCTCAGCACGCTGACTCCAATTAAACAGCTGGGAGTGTTGCTTGAATGAAAGCCTCTGCTGGGTTGAGTGAAATGGTAGGCAAGTCTGGTTTGGCACTTATGAAAGAGAAAAGCTTTATCACACTTGTGTATTCCAGAAATGTGAGTGATCCCTTGGGCCACGTAGGTTGACATAATGAGCTAGGTTGCTCTGCTGCACTGGTAAGAAAAGATATTGGGGAGGAAGAGGGAGGGAGTATGGGTTAGAATGCTTTGCTGCATATGGCACACCTGGGGGAATTCGGCACCAAAAAATTAAATTATCATGCTTTATTTGTAAAGCATGATATTATCATCTGTTTCAATTATTTTGGTAACTCATTTCAAAATGTCAGTATGTTTAACAATACAGACAACAACAAAAATTCCTTACTAAGCATATTAATACAGAACTTTGAGTAATAATTCATTTAAACTACAGTACAGCCACATTTCTCACAACCAGTGCAAAGGCTTGGGGGACTCGGGGTAACAGAGGAGGTGAGGGAGAGGGACCTGATAGTGAGCCTGGAGGATTGTTAGGTGTGGGAAAAGTATGGAACAGGTGCTGGTTTTTTTTTTTTTGGTGGGCAGATTTTTAACAAGTTGGGGAGCCTCCCCCATTCAGATCCTAGCTCACCCCTAGTCTCTCCCATTCAGTCATGCACCACTGCCAGTCCCATGTGTTCCTCCCCCCATCTGTCACTGCACTCACTCAGGCACCTCCTGTCCCCATGTGACCCACATCCCTACTCAGCCCCTCCATCCCCATGTATCCCTGCACCCTCCACTCCCATTCAGCCCCTGGCTCAATGCTGTCACTCCATTAGGTCCTGTGCCCCCACCCTAGTCTGTTCCAGCCACTAGCCCTTCTGAACCTCTTCCCCCCCCCCCCCCCCCAGTGCCCCACACTGTCCACCCTCCTCATAGTCCATATCTCCTCACCTGTACTGGTGGCTGGCTGCTTTGGCCCTGAGACAGCAGCCTCGGGTGGGAAAAATGTGTAATTGCAGCACCTCCCCAGCAGAATGCATTATTCTGCAGTGGGGGAAAGAAAAATCTGTAGGGGACATGAATTCTGCATGTGCACGGTGGTACAGCATTCCCCCAGGAGTAATAATATGGGGTGGGGGACAGCTGTGGTAAAATAACACTGGCCTAGACCATGTGCGAGGGGAATACAGGGTTCACCACCACCAGCAGGCTGGCAATGTGGCAGGTAGGGCCATGCTGCAGTAACACAGATGTGAAAGAATTGAGAGAACAGGCTTACTGGACAGAACTCTCATGCTATCCTAGTGAAATAGTATTAGTTGTTACTATCAAATATGAGGCATCTAAGCTAGGTGTGGGGTGCGGGAGTTAATGTGGCATTGGTGTTGGAGCCTGTAGCCATCAGGACTGCCCATCGGAGGGGGACGAGTGAGGGGTTCAAGATACTGACCATAACAAGAACTCACTAAAGCTCTTCCTGGAGCAATTACTGGCTTGTGTAGCAGTCTGAAAGGGATGGGGCATCTTGCTCAGTGGATTTTACCAGCATCTAGAAGCTGCTCCTATACTGTATTTCACACTTTTGAGCTTGTTGATTCCAAAATGCCAGGTCCTACTGAATTTCCATTCTGAGCTGCTTAAGGCTTGTCTGCTATGCTGCTGCTGTTGGTGTCAGCCTATGCTACCATGTTTCACTTTGTCAGGAGCACCAGGTATGCAAGGCCTACTGGATTTGGAGACTCTACAAAGCCAGTTCCTGTAGCTGACTTTCTTCCCCAAACAGTTTTAGCTCTGCCTTGGTGCCATAATATGCAGCTGGGCTGTGAGCAGAAGCCCTTTTGATCTTACGTGGACTTGCTACTGTGCTTTCTCCTAAATACCAGTTTCACGCAGACTCCTGTCATCAAAAAGCTTTTCTTTACAGCAGGGTACAGAAGATAGGGAGCCAACTCAATGGAAAACGTGCCTACCTGGAGAGACAGCCCTTGTCCTGCTCCTTGGAGCAGAGAGTGAGACTGTACGTTTTCTGAATAGCTCCACCTGCTGGAGCTGGTTGGAGAATTTGGACATGTTTGAAGTAGACATTTTTGCAGAAAGCAGATACTGTTTTAGCCTGCCCTAAAAGCATTGTGCCTTCTAGGGCACAGTCTGTACATCCACCAGAAACATAAGGCATCACCCTAGCAGCCTGGGACATAATTCCAGTGCTCTGTGGCTGGGTCATAGACCAAAATTGTTTAATCACTACTTACATCCTTTACCACCGTTTGCTGCAATCATGGTAAAGGACAGAAGGTTGGTCCAGCTCTGTATCGGGCACTGAAGGTATTCTCACCAGACTGGTCTAGGACGATGGAGGTAAGTCAGTATCTAACAGTGCCACCTTTAGAGAGCAGTAGCTTCTAGTATAGCCCCTCTTGTTCTCAGGCTGGTATTGCAGGGGAGAAATGAGGGGTATGAGTTCTAACCAGGGTGCACAAGATTGGAGAGGAGAATAAAGCTGATTGCTACTTTATTCTCTTTTTACATTGCAGGCTAGTCACCCAATCATAGTTCTATCAAAGCACACAAAAATGGAGCTTGTGTAAGAGCAACAAACTCGTGGGGAAATAGTCCAAGTAATTTAACTCTTCATTTAGTACTTTACCAATGAACTGAAATGTCATCTCCACACTCTTTGCATGCAATATAATTGTATGCCTCAAGATATTACCCCACTTTG